CATCTGTTTGAGAGTTTGTATCAAAAAGACAGATGACACTGTTGCAGGCAGTGGCAGAGTCACCCTGTTCCCAGCAATCCGTGCACCAGAATGTCCTTCTGCGCCAGGATAGAAAAGTCATGTCAGAGCCCCTCGTTCCCTGAAGCAACAGTAACAGCTACAGAGTCCGCCAAACGCCCTGCCATTGGGCTGGAATAGAAACAGCAAGTTCTGTTGGCGTTATATGTGTGCACATGTTTGTACGTGTGTGTACGTATGTGCCTGTGTGCATGTGTATGCATATATGCGCATGTGTGTGCCCGCGTATGTACGCCAGTATATGTATGTATGTATATATTCCCTTTTCAAAAGTTCATGCTACACCACTTCACTTCCACAAAAGACCTACATTAGTACCTGTTTTCACAAACAGAAAGAAATCCGAAGAGAACTTTGACTTTTAAGAAAACAAGGAGAAAAGTGAAAATAGCATCAGCATTTGTTTTGCTCGGTGGTTAGAGGCAGGCCCCCCACACCCTCAGGACCTCAGTGCTCTCAGTGTCTGGGCCTCGTCTCCATGGGTTTTGTGCATCTTGGCAAGACGGGTCCTTGGGTATCAGAAAAGCCTAGGAGAGCGTGTAAGGCTGTTGCACTAGCGTAGAACGGGTTCCACATGAAGTTGTCACACTGAGAGAGCAGGAAGAGAGATTCCTTCCCTCCCCCTCAGATTTCCAACCTCCGAAGTGTCTTCTACGCGTCCATTTCCACCGACTGGAGAGAAGGACAGGTGTTATCCTCAGGCTGCCTGTGCCTCAGCTGGGGGGGGGGGTGGAGTGTGGGGACCGTTTTTCTTACTCTGTGCCTGTCGGTATAGTACATTCATAAGGAATAAAGTGCTATGCAAAAAGCACAGAAAATAAGAATGCTCTCAGATTTAAGCAATATGAATGCCAAAATTAGAAATTAAATAGGACTAAACATAAAGTTAAAAATCCCCCAGAGCATAGCATAAAAAGGGACTAAGAACAGAGACAAAATATGTCCGGGAAAAGAAAAGCAAAATTGAGGCCCAATGGGTGAGGTCCAGCACCTACCCAGATGATCAGGAGGGAGAAAACGAATACAGGTGTGAATCAGAGACTTTTCCAGTCGAGATGTACGTGGCTTTGGATTTAAAAGACCCACCGAGTATCCAGCCAATAAAGGAGAAAAGACCCAAATCTAGCTACACCCTTATAAAGACATTTTCAGAGAGAAAATATCAAACCGTCAATAGACAAAAGGTTGTCACCTACGAAGGAAAAGAATCCAATCTACTTGCAACCTCATTCCAGCAATGCAGAATGCCAGAGGGGGCACCTCCCAGCTCCTGGGAAATCACTCCAGCCCACACGCCAGCCTGCAAGCCAGCAGCCAGCAGGAGGGCAGAAGATTCCAGATGAGCAAGGACTCAGACAGCCCTTTCTTAGCCAGTGATTTAAGGATATTGTCCAGAAAAATAAAGGAAACCAAGAAAGAAGATGACAAAGGTTAGGAACACGAGATGAAGAGATACTATCCATACTTGATAGAAGGCCATCCGGACACATAAGGATATATATATTTTTTTAATATATTTTATTGATTTTTTACAGAGAGGAAGGGAGAGAGATAGAGAGTTAGAAACATCGATGAGAGAGAAACATCGATCAGCTGCCTCCTGCACATCTCCTACTGGGGATGTGCCCGCAACCCAGGTACATGCCCTTGACCGGAATCGAACCCGGGACCTTTCAGTCCGCAGGCCAACGCTCTATCCACTGAGCCAAACCGGTTCCGGCCACATAAGGATATTTTTATAGTTACTACGGTCATTCAATTAAATTATTTTAAAAATGGTGAATCGAGGAGCAGGCGCAAAGGCTCCAGGAGGGGATCCTTGGGAAGAAAGGATCATCTTCTGAAAGAAAGCGATTAAGAAACCAGGGAAAGGCTCATTGCGCCAGGGAAGAAATGAGAAAGGCAACAAGAAACTTCCAGGAAAGCACCGAGAGCAGCACAGGAAAGTCACGGCAGCACGTGAAACAGCTGTAACATGGCATGTGATTAGCACCAGAGCTGACGAGCTGTCAGACAATAGATGCCATTTGACCATGACGCTGGCATGTGCCCCTCACACACGGGACCCCTCTAGGATCAAGTCACACCAGGCGGGAGGATGGAATTCCAGAAGACAATCCGACTCAGCCCTGAGCAATGCGATGTAGACATAGAAATCTAAACACTTTTCATGGTAGTTAACTTCTCAACGTCAACCATAAAAAGGCATAGGAAGCCGGCTGTGGATTCCGGAAAGGATGTAAGTATTACCGACAGGCGTAGTTAACGACAGTATGAACATGAAAGGGGAGAGAGGATGTGGGGGATGGGAAGAGGTACCAAGTCCATATTTTATAGAGATGAAGAGATACTGTCCATATTTGATAGGCCATACAGACATATAAGTATATTTTTATAGTTACAATGGTCACTCAATTAAATTATTTTAAAAATAGTGAATCGAAATCATTAGGAAGAGAGTGAGGTCAAGTCGACTGAGCTAAACCTCATCTTTCAGATGGTGAGGCCAGCAGATAGCATCTCTGATGAGTAAATCAGGAAATTAGACATAAGTGATCATCTGGTTATGGGGTAACCGTCAGCAAAACCCCAACCACAAAATGGCAGAAAGAGCCTGCCTCTGAGAGGTGATGGCAAAGATTGGTGTAAGAGACTAGACAAAAACAAGAAGCTAATATTTTAATTGAAAACAAAGAAAGGAATAAATATTATAAATATGCATATGATATAAATATGCATGTGGAAATGCAACTTTAATTGGAAACCTGTCAGGAATTGAGGCAGATTTCCCGTGTTTCTGTTTCCATGCAGGCACACACATGTGCATGTACACACACACACATGTGCACACACACATGCACCCCTTTTCTTCTTCCTTCTGATACCTACTTACTCTTGGTTTCTGCTTCAGTTTGCCAGGACCCCTTTATCATTCAGGGTGCAGATCAGAAAGAGTCCAGACCCAATTAGTAAGAGACTCCTGTCAAAGGTGAGGCCAGGCTAAGGGAACCGGATGAAGGCTGGGAGCACGCTGGGCGTCACCCGGACGCCACAGGCTGAGGCAGGGAGTCAGGGAACGGGGAGAGGGCTGGGCTTTCCCGGGGAGTTGCCCTGAGGGGCCGAGACCTTCTAAGAAGAATGAACCACTGCCAGTCACAACCAGACGGGCGGGAGCCAGGGCAAAAAAAGACCTCATCTCTCTCCCAAGCAAGGTGCCCCGTCTCCTGGGCAGCGTCAAGGCGGAGAGTGGCCAGGATTTGGAGGGGCAAAGGAAGAACATCAGCACCCCCTCCTGGCCTGGACTGAACTGGGGCTTTTTTCCATGAAGCCCTTTGTCACATCCCTCCGTGTAGCTGCTTTAGTTACTTTATTTCCTAGTTCAGATTTCTACTGAGTGAATGCGAGCCCTCAGAGTCCTCATGGCCAGGCCCTGGACCAGCTGTCCTTGGGGCGGCTGCCTGGTTCCAGCAGCTGTATGGGAAGTGGGGGGTGGGGGAGAGGGACGGGGAAAAGTATGACAGCCTCCCTCTGGGTGGAGCCACTTCACCTGCTGGCAGGTCTTAAACAGATGCAGGAGTGGCGCGAGTATCACATATAAACTAAGCGATAGTCATTGTAACATTGTGGTGACTTGCCTCGGGGCTCACGTGTTAAGGCTTATAGAGTCCTCTATGACTGGCATGGTGCAGGTACTTCACGGGATACCATGTGATCTGCATGACGAGGGCACACCTGGTGGCAGAGGTCAGGCAGCCTGCTAGAGGGAGCCCAGTGATGGATGTGCCGCGGGGGCTGCCTTTCACCCAGCCCGGGCAAGACTCTGGACTCAGGCTACTGATCGCTGAACACCATGCTGCCCACATCTGTGAGAAACAAAAGGAAAGCTAGCATCATCTTTTTTCTTTCTTTTTTTATTTTTATTTTTTGGAGAGAGTGGAAGCGAGGGGGAGTGGGAGAGAGAGAGAGAGAGATCAATGTGAGAGAGACACAGTGATTGGTTGCCTCCCGCACACACCTAGGCTGGGAATCGAACCTGCAACCCAGGTAAGTGCCCTTGACCTTGAATGGAACCCGAGACCCTCCAGTCGGCCGGCTGACACTCTAACCGCTGAGCGCACCGGCCAGGGCAGCAGCATCTTTTAAAAGAGCTTATCTTTGGGGAGAGTTTCCTTCTTTCCAGCACACTGGCTACCCAAGATGCCTCTGAGGTAAACTGCATACAGGATCTGCCTGATTATGTCTTACAACTGCACGTGACTCCACCTACGTGTATCTCAGAATAAAGCTAAATAAACGTCATAGGACTCACCTACTCAGTGAATAGACCTGCTGGCAGCTCCTGTTCCGGGCACTGGGAGGGAGCAGAGAAGGGCAGACACTCGCTCTGACCTCCCATGAAAGTGGCTTCTTCAGACTTCACTCTGCCAGGTTGCTTGTAGTTCAAGTCATCAAATCCATGCTTATTCCGTAAATGGTGATTAGAAAGTATTCACTTACTAACCCCTGGCAAAGTAGGTCTGATGGGTTTCTCCGGGTTACTTAACATGAGTTACAGTGCTTGTGAACAGCAAACCTGTCCCTGATGGTAGCTGAGTGGTCTCCTCTTCTCCCCACTCCAGTCTAGAATGCCCCGGATTAAATTCGCTGCTCAGCAGCTTGCAAGCTCTAACTCCGTCTCCCCGCTCCTTGCCCAGGTGGGAGAGCGCCCCCAGGAAGCTGTGACACAGGCCGCGGTCTGAGCCGGTGGATGTCCCTGATGAGTCACAGACCCTGGCGAATGCTCCCCGAGGAAGGCGCTTCCACCGCCCTGGAGAGCCCAGCCGGCCGGGGGGATGCAGGCAGCCGACAGGGCCCGGCGGCCCCCTCAGCGCTGAGGGGCGCCCCTCCGGCGTTTCCGTCCAGACTCCCAGCTTCTCCCCAGGATGTCCTGCAACCGCACGTCCGCGGAGACGTTTGAATCCCTGCCGCCCAACGGGAGCCACGCGTGGGAGGCGGCGGCGGCGCCGCTCCGGGGGTGCCTGGCCGGCCTCCTGGTGCTGATGATCGCGGTGGGCTTCCTCGGCAACTCCGTGGTCTGCGTCATCGTGTACCAGCGGCCGGCCATGCGCTCCGCCATCAACTTGCTGCTGGCCACGCTGGCCTTCTCGGACATCATGCTGTCGCTGTGCTGCATGCCCTTCGCGGCCGCCACGCTGGTCACCGTGCGCTGGCGCTTCGGCGACTCCTTCTGCCGGCTCTCGGCCGCGCTCTACTGGTTCTTCGTCCTGGAGGGCGTGGCCGCCCTGCTCATCATCAGCGTGGACCGCTTCCTCATCATCGCCCAGCGCCAGGACCGGCTGACCCCGCGGCGGGCCAAGGCGATCATCGCCGCGTCCTGGGCGCTGTCCTTCTGCGTGTCGGCGCCCTCGCTGGCCGGCTGGACCCTGGTGGAGGTGCCGGCGCGGGCCCCCCAGTGCGTGCTGGGCTACACCGAGCTCCCCGCCGGCCGCGCCTACGTGGTGACGCTGGTGGTGGCCGCCTTCTTCGCGCCCTTCGGCGTCATGCTGGGCTCCTACCTGGGCATCCTGCACGCCGTGCGCAAGAACGCGGTCCGCGTGCGCAACCAGTCGGACACCCTGGACCTGCGGCAGCTCGCCAGGGCCGGCCTGCGGCGGCGCCAGCGGCAGCAGCAGGTCAGCTTGGACTTGAGTTTCAAAACCAAGGCCTTCACCACCATCCTCATCCTCTTCGTGGGCTTCTCCCTGTGCTGGCTGCCGCACGCAGTCTACAGCCTCCTGTCCGTGTTCAGCCGGCGGTTCTACTGCAGCCCCTCCTTCTACACCACCAGCTCCTGCGTCCTGTGGCTCGGCTACATCAAGTCTGTCTTCAACCCCATCGTCTACTGCTGGAGGATCAAAAAGTTCCGCGAGGCCTGCATAGAGCTGCTGCCCCAGACCTTCCAGATCCTCCCCAGAGTGCCTGAGCGCATCCGAAGGCGCGTCCAGCCCAGCACCATCTACACCTGCAATGAAAACCAGTCGGCTGTCTAGCGAGAGGCGGGCGGGTGGAGGGGGCTCAGGGCCTGGCTGTCCTGCTCTGCCTCCTGGCACCTGAGCCCCAGTGGGCATCCTGTGGCGGCCAATGAAGCACAAAGGTACTCATTTGTGAGCAGAGGAGCCCGGCTCCCTTGCAGGGTGAATGATTTCCGTGTTCTGCTGCAGGAGAGCAGGGGTGGGTCTGATGGAGACTTGGGAGGAAGGCGCTGGGAACTGGAGGGAGCAGGGAGTGGGCAGAAAGTCAGGGAAGAGGAGGGAGCAGGGGTGGGTGGGCTGAGTGTGGGTAGGAGGAAGGCTCTGCTTAAGAGAAACCCTGTGGTTTCTTTACATTGATCACATGAGCGTTTCCAACCAGGCCACATCGTCCTTTCTGTAAACCAAGATCACGCTGGGAGCAGAGGGAGCCGGTGCGTCTCAGCTCCCGGGAGGGCACGTGGGAGACCCTGGGGCAGCTCAGCTGAGAGGAGAAGCCCAGGGAGGGCTGGGTGTGTACCCCGCCTCTCCTGCCGCCCAGCACACCCTGTCTCTGGGCCTGGGGCCTCCATCCTCCCTGTCTGCCAGGACCGTCCCTCTGCCCCTCTCTTTCCCTTGCTGCTCCCCAAGCCTCCCTTTGTTCCCTCTGCTTCTCTCCCCAGGGGGCAGAAAAGGCACAGTCCTTCTCTTGTAACTCATCTTCTCAGCAAGTATTTGAAGCGACCTGCTTTCCATCTCAGAAGTGGTCCGTGGGCTTAGTTTACACGTTTCCTCTGGACACGCTGAGGCTGTAGCCTCCCGAGCTGCCGCATGGACTTCTGCGCTGGACCTGCTGGCAGGGGCCGGACAGACACCGACCTGCCCACAGGTCCCCGTTGATCTCTGTGCTCCTCCTACCTCATTCCTCCGCTGTCCTCTGGGCCACCCGCCCGGGGCCTTGGTCCTCTGAGCCCAGGCAGGACCGGGGCCCTGGGAGCGAGGCTGCCGACAGGGAACTAGGCTGCTTGCGCTGTGCCCTTGGCCACCTGGCCCAGGTCACCCATTACTCCAGAGCTTCTGACGTGGGGTTGGTTTTCCCGAGTTTGAGGCACACCACTGAGTCCATGCAGCTCTTTTTACAGTTTCAGATCTGAAGAGAGTGGGAAATTGAAGGAGAAATTCAGGAAATCTGAACCCAAGTCTTACTCTAACAGGAGCTAGTGTGTGACATTGTTCGCTTCACCTGACTTCTTGGGTTTGTTTCCCCATTTACCATGCGAAGAAGCAAGTCTAGATGCTCTCCCATGTCCCTTTCATCTCTCACACTCTCAGATTCTAAAAGAGTATGTTGTCTGCTCGTAGTCACAGCTCCTCTGTATTTGTTTATTTTCCACACCATGAGCCTTTATTAAGTGCCTGCTAGACGCAAGGCACTGTGGGAGAAAGAGGGATGAATAAGGCCCGGGCTGTGCCCAAAGGCAGTGTCCAATTTATCTCAAGATCATTGTAACTCAAGCCTGGCCTGCGTAGCTCAGTGGTTGAGCATCGACCTATGAACCAGGAAGTCATGGTCGGATTCTGGTCAAGGCACATGCCTGGGCTGTGGGCTCCATCCCCAGTGGGGTACGTGCAGGAGGCAGCCGATCCATGATTCTCTCTCATCATTGATGTTTCTCTCTCTCTCCCTCTCCCTTCTTCTCTGAAATCAATAAAAATATGTTTCTAAAAAAATCATTGCAACTCAAATTCGGCCTAACACAGATGCTCCCTTTCATTGCTCTTCTCGGTTCCTTTCCCAGGTTGCAGCAAGAGGCCAGCTCCTGTCCTGGCACTCGCTTCCCGTGGTGCTGGTGACAGGGGCAGGGAAGAGCGGGCATTACAGAGAACATAATTTATGTTATTTATATTATCTAAGCCCAGAGCAGGACTTGTTGTGAAAATAAGTGATACTTGTTCTCACTAACTTTACCCAGGTGCAGAGAGAAAGCTGGGCAGTTGGTGTGTGATTGAGATGGCCTGTCAGTTCTTGTCCCAAGTGCCCCCAGCAGGGTCAGGGTTTGCCTTTGGCTCCTGTCCACTTCAGCCTTAGTGGGCCCAGAGCACAGCCAGCCCCCGAGGGACCAGGCCAGTGGTCACCTCCCCCTGGTGGGCGTTGAAGAAAATGCTCCCCCAGAGCCTTGAGTAAAAGAGAAATCACAAAACTGAATGAATGAAAGTACCAAAATTCACACCCATCAGTGTTACATGATGTATGTTGAAAAGTAATGTGTTTCAAACTAATAATTTTGTACATATTTTTAAATAAAGTATTATTGCTCTTTCTGTGTATAAGACTATGCTCTCTTGTCATAATTAGCACCAAGGCCATGAATAGTAAGCCAACCGTCTGGAGCCCAGCGTCCCCTCAGACACAGCAACTTCAGGAAGCGTAGGACCCGGCAGTTACTCCCCTCGCTGGAGTGACTGAAGAAGGACATTGAGGGTAGATGAAACCCAGGAGACTGTGTGAGCCCTGGGGTCAGTGGTGAGGCCCAGATCGTTTTAAATCCCGGCCCTGCTAAGTAACCTGTGGTCTTCACCTCCGACTCCCAGCGCGTCACCTTCGGGAGTCTCTCTTCCTCGCCGAACCTCTAAAAACTCTACTCCCCTCAGCCATTGCACGAGGCCCAGGCTGTGCCCAAAGCAGCTGTCCAAGCTTGTCTCCTTCTGTAGGAGGACAACCACGGCTCCCTTGTTTTCTGTTTCTGTCTCTTCTCTAGCCCTGGAGTCACCCAAACCCTGGCACCTGAGTTGTTTGGTGGAGCCTTGGGAGGTGACGATGGTGGTGACTCTCCAGGAGGCAGGCCCCTGGTTCCTTGGGAGAAAAATGAGACACAAGTCTCAGAAGTGTCATCCCAATTCCGCGTCCCCTGGAAAATCCACTACCTTTTCATCTTGAATCTTGGTCCCTGCTGTCGGGGTGAAATAAAAGCAAAGGTCATCTAGGGCGTTCTGCCAACCCAGACAAGTGACAAAAATCTAGATCAATTCCTACTTTGCTGTTCTGAGACCTGGGTGTGCTTTCCCCTTGCGTGACTTATAGAGCACACTTTTTTTGGGCTAAAAGCCTGCTGGTTAATTATTTACAATGTTGCTCTGCCCCCTTGCTCACGCAGTTGGCAGCCCCACCTCCCAGGGCCCCGAAGTCTCGGAGTGTCAGCACCCAGGCTTCACTCCTAGGAAATGCACGGGGCCGGCGGGGGAGGGTGGGGCCAAAGGGCATGCCCTCCCCAAAACCAGGGTCACCTTGCTCTCTGCGTGATTCGGGCTTCGGGCAAGTGATTTGGTGTCCCAGCTTTCTCCTCTCCCACGTGGTGTAAATATCCCCCAAGGGCTCCGTGAGGAATAAATGGACTAATGCACATGAAGGGTCCGGCCCCTGCGCGGCCGTGGCAGAGGCTGCACACTCGGTGGTAATAATGACTACAGTTGTACCGTCCACTTGCCCTGAGCCAACCTTTGTACTCCGGGGCAAGGGCAGCGCTTTGTTTCAGAAGCTGGCTGTTAGTCCCCTTCCTCATCGTCAGGTGGGCCTAAGATTTCGGGGTTCAGTGGATAAGAACACAACATCCACAGGAGCCAGGAGCATGGGTTTGACTTTAAAGAGCAAAATTGCCGATGGCTGGACTGCAGCACTTGCCCACATCCAAACTGTTGCCTCACTGGGCTGCCAGGAGAAGGACGGACAGGTGGACACCTTTCCATGCATATCCTGAGAGCACACTGTTCTGAGGGGCTCCTCACTGCAGAGCTGAGCAGGGTTTTGAGCATACAGGGAGGCAGGAGGGAGGCAGGAGGGAGGCAGGAGGGAGGCAGGAGGGAGGCAGGAGTGTGACGAGGGTAAGGGTGGGGCTGCTATAACAGCCGCCCAACTCGAAAGTGCCTGTGAAAAAATAACCCTGTTTCCCTCATTAAGTCCAGGGCAGCAGGTGGGTTCTCTGCCAGGAGGCGGTTCAGGTCTCCCTCCTCTGTCCAGGTTCCCGCTGGCCCTTGAGGAGAGAAAAGGGTGTGGAGGAGCAGAGAGGTAAGACACCCACATTCCCTGGGCTTCCCTGTCAAGACTGAGTCACATGACCACACAGCTGCAAAGGAGGCTGGGAGGTGAGTCTATAGTCTGGAGTGTGTGCCCAGCTCTGGCTTTCTTAGCCTGGAAGGAGAGGAGAAGGATTTGGTGCGTTCCCAGCAGTCTCTGCCAAAACATGGCACAATTTTGAAAAACAAGGGATCCTAGTACATATACAAATTCTCACACTGAAGTAGAAATCTCATCACTGACCATTTCCTCATTGTAAAATAAGCACACCTCTGTCACAGCGACCCCAGAAGGCTGCCTCTCTCTCCACCTCGCACCCCAACATACAGGGACCCGCTCCCAGACACAGAGACTGCAGGCACTTACACCTGTGCCAAGGACGAGAGGAACCACAGGTAACCTTTTAGACACAGAAGATGTGAGACAGGAGGGCTAACCTGAAAATTTGCAGCCACAAAGAGAAGAATTTGCCAAATAAGGGAAAAAAAAATTACTATTATTTAAACAAAATCAACAGTGATCGAAAGGTTAAAGTCGTTGGTGCACAGGCAGGCAAAATAACAATTTTAGACAGTGAATAAAGAAAAGTTGAATTTATTTAAAGAAAAGGGGTTGGGGGATGGGAATATCCAGAGAGAAGGGCTACAGGGCACCAAGCCAAAGAGAATTGGGTCGATGATGGCTGCCCCGAGGAGCTCAAATCTTGTCCTTATAAGCAGTCAATGGCAGGAAGCTTTTGTCATCAGTGGGTTTGGGGGGCTTGGTGGGTGAACTTGGGCAGTGAATTGGGTCAACAGGAATGCATTGTGGGTGCTGCTTCGCAGTTTTAGTTCCTTATATGGTTTGATTCCTGGTGTCTGGCATTTTTGGTCTGACAAGTCTTCCTGGTGTCTGTCCTCCTGTGGCGGGGAAGCTTACAAATGGCCGTGAGTAATTATATTGCCTTGTAAGTCCTCACAGTGATTGAGAC